CATATGATATATTTTGGTTTTAGGTTCTTTTTTCCAATATGTATTTTAATAATTAAAGTTTAAATTTTCTCCAAATTTTATTTATAATTTTCTGATATTGTGTGCGTAGGGCGAAGACGCTCTGCAATATGCGTTATGACATGTTTTTTGGATATCATCATCGTCGTCAATGTTGTTGAAATATAAAAACATTATGGTGTTTATAGTATTGTGATTTTGATAATTTTAGTGGTATTTATTTTAATTTTTATAATTATGCTTGTGCAGTTATAATTATTATAATGGTCTTATTTTTTATACAGTATTTTAAATTGTATAATATTTAGTAGGAAAATTTGTAAATACAATGCTGCAATTTAGCTTTGGCTGCCATTGATTGTAAACAATGAATAAAAGAATTCACCACCACACCCACTGTTGTAATTATTGTCACTGTCATTATCATCATCCGCACCATCATCATTATTACAACAATCGAACTAAGAACAAAAATGCGGTATAACTACCAATTTTATTACATTATTAAACAATACCAGTATTCAAATTCATAGTCTTTGTTATCTGTGTACTTTATAATATCCCTATTGCAAATTCATTTATTTAATTAGTGGTTTTCCGAGTATAATAGGCCTATCGATAAAACAATAAAATTCATGTTAAGGTTATCCAAACTTATGCCTGTTTTACATCTTAAATCTTTTCTCATAGGCTTATAAGAAGTCCGAGTCACACCAAGGTCACTGACAGCCATAACCATCTGCGATTAAAACAATCACATATTTTGAAATATTAAAGTACAATGCTTAGGTTACACATACATGTTACAATACTTAAAAATGTTATAAAAATCCATATTTTTAAAAATACGTCAACATGATATTGTTGCAAAGATAAAAGTTAGTACTTAAACACACAATTTAACCTCTGTCTCTTATACACATCTAGATGTGTATAAGAGACAGATATACTACTATGTACTACTATATACATTGTTTACATTTTTTTAATCAGTGGGATTTTTAGAGTTGTTTTAACATAAATAAAGAATCTACCCAAAATTTCGCTTTTTCTACATAAGACAACAGTCTATAAGCCTTACCGTAACAGACTTCCCACAAAAACCCCAACCATAATTCTCAAGCTAAACCTAATACCCAGAACTATAGCTTATACTCAACAGCGCTGTAAAGATGTTACAGGGAAGTTGAGTTATTTCAAAAGGAAAGATTTGTATATTCTTTTTCTTGTCATGGTCCTTGGCTGCCATAATTTAAAAATTAGCCGAAAAACGATGAAGTGAGAAATAACGAAATCACAGAGCTCACAGTTTTTGTTGAAATTAATCGAGACGCTGCTGTTTTTCCTGTTGCTTTGTGTTCTGTTACCTAAGGATCATACTAACGTGTTCTGTGGCACCTACAGACCATGTAAATGGAAAAAATGATAAAAAAAACTAACTAGGTTAAAATAGCTCAGTTGTGTAAACTGTGGACCAGGGCGGTAGCCACGGGTGCGGTTGGTCAGGTTTAAACCTGACCCCTTTTTTTGACATGACTACTATTAATTTATTAGGATTTGAATAGGAAAAAAAGGCTAAATTCCATCTGTATGTTTATTCTCAACTTACTCCTTCTTGACTACTCTGGAACCAAAAGTCTACTTTGGGATGAACGGTTAATGATAGTTTACATTTATTTTCTTCTCTTTTACTGTACTTGTTCACGCAGAATATCACCTGGGCTTTTCTCTTAGCTGAACAAACTATCAATTTAGTGACTCTAATTATTAATTTTTCCTACTGTTACGAACTTGCGGAGAGCGCCGTCAGCGTCTGTTTATGTCGAGTAATCTGTATGTTGCTAAATTTGGATCGCCATTGGAGCAGGGAAGTAACATGGAACGCCATTGGTGCCACAATTGATTATTTTCAATATTTTTGATTGATTGAAACAATGTAGTGACTTGTAGTGTGAGCGGATGAAAAGGATCTGTAATGTGATGCGTTGTCTCATGCTTTTCACGTCTGCTGTAGTGTTCATCTGCAGAGTGACTTAGACATTATCCAGGTCAAATTCTCCATAAGTGGGATGGCATCAACTACATTTTTACCCATAAGGGGATTGGGCTGTGGAGACGGGCTTCCACGTAACATTAGACGTAACACCAGTCGCATGCTATTTCTTAGGCGTTGACCAGTTAAGTTTTACTACTTGACCTATATTATATTTCACTAACATATGATATATTTTGGTTTTAGGTTCTTTTTTCCAATATGTATTTTAATAATTAAAGTTTAAATTTTCTCCAAATTTTATTTATAATTTTCTGATATTGTGTGCGTAGGGCGAAGACGCTCTGCAATATGCGTTATGACATGTTTTTTGGATATCATCATCGTCGTCAATGTTGTTGAAATATAAAAACATTATGGTGTTTATAGTATTGTGATTTTGATAATTTTAGTGGTATTTATTTTAATTTTTATAATTATGCTTGTGCAGTTATAATTATTATAATGGTCTTATTTTTTATACAGTATTTTAAATTGTATAATATTTAGTAGGAAAATTTGTAAATACAATGCTGCAATTTAGCTTTGGCTGCCATTGATTGTAAACAATGAATAAAAGAATTCACCACCACACCCACTGTTGTAATTATTGTCACTGTCATTATCATCATCCGCACCATCATCATTATTACAACAATCGAACTAAGAACAAAAATGCGGTATAACTACCAATTTTATTACATTATTAAACAATACCAGTATTCAAATTCATAGTCTTTGTTATCTGTGTACTTTATAATATCCCTATTGCAAATTCATTTATTTAATTAGTGGTTTTCCGAGTATAATAGGCCTATCGATAAAACAATAAAATTCATGTTAAGGTTATCCAAACTTATGCCTGTTTTACATCTTAAATCTTTTCTCATAGGCTTATAAGAAGTCCGAGTCACACCAAGGTCACTGACAGCCATAACCATCTGCGATTAAAACAATCACATATTTTGAAATATTAAAGTACAATGCTTAGGTTACACATACATGTTACAATACTTAAAAATGTTATAAAAATCCATATTTTTAAAAATACGTCAACATGATATTGTTGCAAAGATAAAAGTTAGTACTTAAACACACAATTTAACCTCCACCACAGTTAAAAATTACATACATATTGATAATTCATGTGATGAAACACTCACTCATTTTGTCTTTCACATTACAGACTCTTGCAAAAAAAAAAAAATACAAGATTTTAAACATTTTATTCATTACTAATTTTATTCATTAATTTACCATTCTTGTTAACTATCTAATTTACTATTCTTTCTCTTTTCCTTCAGTTTTTTCTTTTCGTCTTTTAATTCTATCTCTTCACTGGGTTTTTCTTTCGTTATCACTTTTCTCCCGTGCCGCTTCTCAGGACTTTTCCTGGAAATCAAACCTGCGAGAAACCCAACTTTCTTGCCAACTTGGGAAGGTGGAATGTATTCTGCGTCAGCTGCCAAACTTGAAGAAGAGGACATAGAGGGCGGCTCATACTCAACCCCATGTTTTGCACTGTTTGATCTTTTAACAGCTTTATGGTTTTTGTCATCCTGGTTCGACATTTTCCGCTTTTTGCGCATGAAATTTAGCGAGCGGAAAAGTCTGCTGTTACGACGCTTATCCTTATCATCTTCAATATGTAGTTCTTGTTCACTTATGCTTTGTTTCTTTGACCCTTTTCGTGCTTTTTTTGACTGTTTTCGTGTAGCTTCATTTGATTCGGAAAGTTCGGGTGATGCTTCCCCAGTTGTGGCAATCTCTGATGGATCAGTTGTGGTTTTGACAACCGATATCGGTGTATCCTTTTCTGATTCATTTCTATTATCATCTGAAAAAATTCAAATAAAATGTATTAATATGAAGTAAACACTTTGCATGCAAATTTCATTTCGAAAACCACTGACTAAACTGTTAGAATTTCAAAAACTACCAGGACACTGTTAACATTATTGGATCCATAAAAAAAACATTTAATCTTTTACTTATTGATACTAATTTAATTCATTCACACTATTACAGCACAACAGATACACAGCCAGAGAGTCATAAAAAGCCATAAAAACTCTTTTTGTTAATCCTACAAAAGATTTTTATTCCGGAACACTGGCTCTAGTTGGCACCTTCGTTTCAGACCCCAATTCTGTCAGATCCCCTGTCAGAAATTTTCTGGAACTACTACTTGCAAGTGTAGCCTTTAAAAGCAGCTAGTGGTTCAAGAGGTGTGATGAAGCTACACAAATTTTGGCTTTTGGGCAGATAGCTGATAAAAAGAATCTTAAGACCAAACCATCAATATTAATCCCAAAATAATGTGAATGTTACGTTACTGAAACACAATTTGAAAATCGGCACAAAATATTGAAATTTTCATAAAAAATACTACCATTTAACATTTCCATAACATTATATAACTATAATAGCAAAACATTTGCAAACCAACATTAACATCAAAATATGAAATATTAAAAGGTTAGAAAACAACTAAATAATTACTGTAAACAATATCACCTTATTCCACAAAATAAAAAAAAATAACGTGAATAACAAAAATTTAAGCACAATAACTATGATGACGATAATAGCAAAAAAAAAAACAAAAAACAAAAAACAACAAAAACAGCACCAGAACCACCAACATATAATAATAATCAAAAACATCATCATTACAATCATAACACTTGTATTTTTTTTGTACTTATTTACATAACATATCTGTAAATTGTTAGCAAGTTAGCTGCAGTACACCAAAACCTATTTTTTGCCATTTTGAAATAAAACTCAGAATAAAAATGTTGTAACATCAATTAACAAATGTAGGATAGTGTTGGACTTGCAACAGAACAGACAGAACAGACAGATAGATATCATTTCTTGTCAATTGAATGCAGTTTTTTTTCTGTGGTGTTGCCTATGTGCAATGGTTGTTGTGTTCCTAATCTGATTAATTTTTAAATTTTGTAATAATTCAAAACTGGAAATAATTAAAATTTTATAAATTTATATTTTTATATTTATCATATTTTAAAGTTATCAATGACATTTTTTAATTGAGTTTAGTAATTTTTTAATGTGATGAAAACATGTGACATGCCTAAATATGGTCATGATGACATCACATCATGACATACTGTATGGCAATACAAGTTTTTTTGTCAAGAAAATTTGGGTGTGGGTAAAACTTAAGTGATGATCAAGGGCTTATTGCTATAAGCGGACTTTAGAATGTCTTAACTCTTAACCGGCTATAATCATTGTGTCACTACTGGTCTATGGTTATATAGACCATTGCTATACCGTGGTCTAACCAGTTAGCCACCTTAAATTTTAAGGCCTACGCAGAGGAAGCCTAAAAATGGTCTTCAATCATTTTTAACATGGCGTTACTGGTAGTAGACATAGGCATAGATCGTTGCAAAGACCAAGAATCAAAAGAAGAATATTCCGCAAGTGTCCCAGTGTTTGTTTATTTAACTTCATTTTGATACATGTGCATTTGTTGAGCAAGCATGAAGTACATGTAAAAGCACTCTAAACGTTATCTTACCAGGGAGTGCTTGTTTGAATACTCAAAGCAGTCTAAGCGAAGATGGTTTTTATAGCAATGGTCTTTAGCGGAGTGACTTTAGTAAGACCCTCTAAGTGATAAAGCCGGCTTTATTCGAGGAGTTAAGACTACCAGTTAAGACAGTTTTATAGCAATCCGCCCCAGTAATCACATTTTGATGGAAAAGATGGGTTAAGCTTATCTACATGTTAGTCACTGTGCTTCAGTGCAAAGGTACATTCAAACACAGAGGTTGACATTTAACTACATGTCAGTCTCTGTGCTTGTTTTTATACCTGCACATTATAGAAATCTCAAAGAGTCTCTGTGCATACAGACTCACAGACTCACATATATAATTGAGTTTAAAATATATAATTACAATTTAATTATTAAATCTTTAGACCTGAAAAAAATAAAAATATATATATATAAAATTAGGAGGTAGAGGTAAAATTATTAAAACACAATCATTTGTGGTGAAGACAAGCCAAAACCAGTAACTCCTCAGATATTATGTTTTGGAGATAATGGCAAAAACATTTTGGACCACAAAAATGTTAAAAATCTGGTTTATTGCAAACTAAAGTTTATATAATACATCATGCTATTTTGTTATTTTTCTCATTTCTGATGATAAAACACAAAAAACTCTTCTTAAACAGCTGTATATTTAAACTCTTGTAACTTCATAACAAAATGTTGGATTTAAATGATTCTTTTACAATTTTATAACATTAATTTCTGCTAAACCCTGTATTAATAACTAAAAAATGGATTTTTGCGAGGAGTGACTGGTTTTTGGCTTGTCTTTGCCAAATTAAAGAGTTCAGTTCAAACCAAAAACCATCCTAATCATGCTACCACAGATAATACATTAGGATAATGATATGGTCTTGGATGTCCATGTAACTCCTTGCTAGGTATTTTTTCTTCAAATTTGCAAGTTCGGAAAAACTGTTTCCACACAGTTTTCCAATTTAAATATTTATGCATCGTTAACATTCTTGGAATTCATGGCACAAAAATATTAACATAGAATGGGTTTAATACTTGACAAAGGTTGTCTCAGATAATGTACCTCAATAAGCATATCCACTACACTTACCTGCAAAGTGAATTTTCTTTGAAGAGTCCCTTTTGATTTTAGGCTGTTCTGTAGTCATCTGAACCCAAGGATCAAAATGTGTTCCCTCCTCTTTTCCAATATCACTAAGTTCACTTTCACCAGAGCTCCTATTTATCTGTACCACAGACGTACTGTTTGGTTTTGAAGAGGTAAAACGTTGTTCCAATTCAAGGTTCAACCTTTTCATATTGTCTTTTGCGGTAGGTTGTATATTCGTGGGACGGACTTTCTGAGTTTTTTCTGGTGTTTTTGGAAACACCTCAATTACAGTGTTTGCAGATGCTGAGGATGCCGATGATTCAGGTCTTGCATTTTGATCGTCGTCAGATTTCCTACGTTCACTTTCTACTTGTCCTTGAGACGTTTTAATATCATTAGCGTTAGGATCATGGAAGCCATTAGTGTTCATACTTTCAGACTCAAGAATAATGTGGTCAATTGTAGATAAATTTTCTTTTTCTGGCTGCATAGGTTTTTCAACTGATTCATCTTTGACTATCTGAGATGAGTTGAATTCAATTTCTATTTGTTCTGGATCAACTGTACTTATTGATAGCAATTTTTCTTCTGGCTGGGCAGTTTTTTCAACGGGTTCATCTTTGACTAATTGAGATGAGTTTATTTCAGTTTCTATTTTTTGTGAATCAGCCATAGTTATTGCTTGATTGGTTGTGTCTTCAGGGTCTGAGTGATCAAATCCATTTATTACTGCTTGCCCATTTGCTATTTCATTTATCTCATTGGGTGGATTTAATTCCAACACACTTTGCTTTGGTTCAACTTTGCTAACCACTGTTTCAACTTCTAATTTCTGCTGCTTTGGTTCAACACTTTCTGTTGCTGTGTTTCCATTTGGTATTTCTTCCATCGTTGTAGGTAAAGTTATATCTACCCAATCTTCACTTGGTTCAATGTTTCCTTTGAATGACATTACTCTAGGGGAAGTGGGTGATTTCACCCTCAATGAAGGCCTTTTCTTCAGTAGTGTTTTGTCAGTAAGGCTTAGCCTTTTTAACTGGAAACCCTGAGAAATTTAAACAAGTGTGTTGTTAAGATATTTTGGGAGTTTTTAGTTCACATCCTATATCATTTTGGTGTATGCCTATTGATGCATGAGTGTGCACAAATAAATATTTACCATTCAAACAGTTATGGAACCAAATTTACATTGAGTAATGTTAAATCTGTTAATAAAACTGTCAATGTTATAAATATGTTATACCTATAGACATTTTGAGACTTCTTAAGTTCACCTTTTTTTTTGCTTATTCATGCAACATAAGAATACACTGGAAGAGGTGAAAACAAAACCTTAAACTGTCCCTAATATGTTAAAAAAATAATGAAACCAAACTTAACTTATAATATATAGCATTGTTAAATATGGAAGTAAAATAATTAGTATTCTTAAATGAAAACCCTGAGAAACTATCAATCAAATGCAATGCAATGAATGCATAAAATATCAGAAAATAATTGGAATTTTTAAAGGTCACATCCAATCTTTTGATTCATGAATAATAATTGACATTCAAAAATCAAATCTATAGAACCAAAATAAACAGTACAATAGCACAAGTCTGGAAACCCAGAGATATCCAAACGAATGTGTGGTTATGAATAAATCAAATAGCACATGAACTTTGGAATTCCTCAAGTTAACATTATGCTGTATCTTGTTAAAAAATGTGTTCCGAATTTATGATCAATATATACAATAATGAAACTGACTGTATAAAAATGGAACCCGAAATGAAAGAATTATTCAATTTAACTGGAACTTTGGAGAAAAATTTTATCTTTTAAATATGTTTTAGCGGATTATGCGTTTGGATTTATTGAGCTGCCATTTAATGCTCATGGTTGATTCATGCATACAGAAAAATGCATCAGAACAAGCACCTAAATAAAATCTTCATCTTTCCCTAATTTTAGATTCAAAATGTAAAACAATATGAAACCAAATTTGACTGTATAATACTAATGTTAATCCTCAAACTATAATAATAAATATTTTTAACAGGAAATCCTGAGAAAATCAAACAAAAGTGTTGTATGTTTTCTTGACAATCAAATTTAAACAAAACTTGGCAGTATATAATGTCAAAACTTGAACTGTAAGAATTGTATATTTATTTAAAAACCCTGAGAAATTAAAACAAAATATGGTAATAAAATCTTAATTTGTCAGTTATTTAGTTTTTTTGTACATACATACAGAATAATTATGGAACCAGATTTCACTGTAATAGCAATGTTAATTCAATATTGTTAATGAACCTAACTTTAGACTGTAACAAATCTTGCATAATAAATTTGACTCTTCCAAATGTCTGCCAAAGATATGCTGATTAAATAGCCTTAATAATGAGCTTCACAAATTGGCAAAAAGTACCAAATTAAAGAACCAAAATGTCAATCCATGAGATTGGACAAGGGGCTCTCACCTGGGACAATGCACAACACACAGCAAAAGACCTTGACAAACGGAAGGACGTTGATGCCGCCTTATGTCCCATCAGGGACAAAGAGGATAAGTAAGTAAGTATACGTTCATATCAAAGTCACTTTTATTTCTCTTTTTTTCCCTTTACATTAATAATTCAAATGTAATGAGGGAGAGCAGTTTTTAGAAAGTAAACTTTATGAAAAGCTACTAAAAGTCAAATAAATGAAAATGTGTAAAAATGATGAAAAAAAAATAAGAAATTGATACACAATTGAAAAAGCAATTACAAGGTAAAAAAATAAAATCAGCACGAAAAGTTGATACAATGAAACTTTAGATTCAATCTGTATCATATAACAATATGTTTTCACCTGACTACTCATCAGTATTATTCTATGAGTTATACAGACTTACATAAAGTAGTACCTGGTGTTTGGTGATTAGCTACAATCTGTGATAAGTCATGTTTATATAGGTACTGTAATTTGTATTATAGTTGGAGGTGATAAAGTGGAATATAGATGGCAAAAACATATTTGAATTAAATATCAAATGATTATATATATTGTTCTTATCTTATCACCTAATAAAACATGATATAATTCAACACATAAATATTAGGTAGTTAACTTTCTATTTAGAAATTAAATATGATATGTTTAATAATTTCTTTTCTCTTTCTTCATTTTTTTTTTTGAATATTTAAGCCAATAGACAGATCTTCAGAACAATTTGTTTTTATTCCGCAAGAATTTGTCTCAACTGGAAACCCTGAGAAAACAAATTATGTTATTAAGTATTTGTAAAATATTAAAATCCTAATTTTATGGTTTATTCATGTATGCATAAGAATACATCAAACATGCTAATATAAATCCTTAATTTCTCTCCAGTGTACATTAAATCTTTAAAACAATTATGGAACCAAAGTTAACTGTACAGCATTATTGGCAAATATGGAAATAAGGCAGGCACACATTGCATCGTAAGATGGTCAATGTAAGCCCAGTGGCAGAACCAGGTATTTTGAAATAGAGGGGGGCCAAGGGAGGTCTAGACACCACAGTCCCACCATGATTGGTGCTGAAGTAAGAAAATTTATGATTACGGCACCTCTAGTTGGCAGGAAACGGCACCGTTTAAAAAAAAATAATTTCTAACAATTTTAGCGGGGTGGGGAGGCCTGACTAAGCGCCCTTTGAATTCACCATTGGTGCTTAGCTTTAGTTTTTTTTTTACCTGGAAACCCTGAGAAATTCATCAGTATTTTGTTATATATATGTTTGTAGGATGTTTTCATATTTCTTGAGTAATTCTACAATATTTCTGGTTCATTACTTAATACATAGAAATAACTATTGTTAATATTTAAGACGTTGGCTGCCAGCGACGAGTATACTCGCCAACGTGGTGTTGCTGAGGGCGTCAAAATTGGGGTAACATTCTAGCGTTTATAACTTCCTTATTATACATTGTAGAACCACAGACTCAATGGCTGGTAGTATGGGGAAGATACACCTAGATGATAACGTACAAATGACGCATGTATGTTTGTTGTATTATGTTGCCACTTGAGCGGTACAAGTGGGATGCCCTTTGAACATATACCAACCCATGTGTAAAGCGGACGAGATATCTCGCACAGTAAAAAGTTCTATCACAGTGCCATCGACTAGTATACTCGCCCCCTAATATTTTCCCGCCAATTTATTAGACACATCATTTTGATGATATATGACTACATAAAATTTCAAAAAAGTATGTTTGTACATGTAAACTTGTTTTGGCACCCGGGAAGGAACCTTGAAAAAAGGTCTGGCAGTCAACGAGTTAGGAGTTTTTATTAATTTAAGTCAAGTATTCCTTCTGTATATTTATTTTTCAATGTATATATGAAGATTAATTTTACCTTACGGATATCTGCCAACAAATTATCGACAATGTTCCCATCTTCTTCTTGAGCAATTGGGATTTTGCCAACTTTTCTCCCTCCACCTTCTTTTAATTGTCTTTGTTTTTCCTCCTGTCTTCGCTTTTGTTTCTCTTCAAGCTTTCGCCTTTTTTCATTTTCCTATAAAATATTTATGTAGAGATCAAAAAGTTACAAACAAGTAAATGTTACATGTTGCACAATTTATCCACTTGGCTTTTATTGCTTTAAAGTGCTAACACCACCCTTTGGATATTGTAAGTTCTTACAGAATGACAACCATTCATAAACATTCTGATTGGTCAGTTTTTAAGTTTGAGTGACATTCTGAAAAGGTCAATTATGTACATAACTATTATGTTAATATATTTAAAAGCAAAATAGTTAAAATTGTGTAAGTGTATTTTAGTTTATTTCAGTTTTGAAGTTTATAATATATATTTATATATGTTTTAGTTGAACCTGTTAGTGGCGGTTTTCATCGCTGTTGGTTTTATACTGAATAAAATAAATAAAATAAAATGTTGTGTTTAGGGCATGCCCATAACAAATGAACGTAGGGTAGCCATGACCACAGTACACCACGATTAACTTTAAAACTTCCTAGTACCACCATTATTCACAACAAACTTTTACTTTTTACTGTCCACTGAAAATATTTAAAAATATTCTGAAGGACCAAGCAAAAAAATTAAATAACAAAAAAAAAATCACAAATGGAAAAAGAAGTACATTGTAAATGACTACCTGTTGGCATTGTTTTACTCGTTCAGCAAATATTTTTACGACTCCCAAGAAGTCCTGCAGTTTGAATTTGGACGGATCTTCCATAAAGAACTCGCAAAGCTCTGCACTCTGCTTTTCAATTTGTTTGATGTCTTGCTTTAGCATGTCAACCTCCTTTTCTGATTTCTAAAGGTAATTACGAAACAAATGACAAAGATAATATTACATTTTCTGTCAAGTGATTCTCCTACCCCTAGCACAAAAAAACCATGTACTAAGACATTCAAAAAATGCCAGCGCTAGAAATTTTGTAAGGAGGCGTCCGATACCACCGAAAAGGACAAGCATTTACTTCAGCCCCACCATGATTAGCAAATGATTAGACCATCTAGATGTGTATAAGCCTAATCATTTATCCTCACCGGATACAGTGAGCTACTGTCAGAAAAGCCACTCTTCTTAACAATGCTAGATTGAATAGGTGGTGTTTCTATTAACAAACTTTTTCAAAAAAGTCTTCTAGATGGTCAGAAATGGCACTCTCAGATTCAAGTTTGAATATATTTTGTTTTTGTTTATGTTGAATTTGCTGCTAGCATATCCAATAAATTACCTTTGTAAAGGCCTTGAATTGTTCCTTGATGTCTTTTGAAGCTTTTGAAATCTGTTTGTCTAGTTTCTCAAGGCTTTTACCCAATTGGTTTACTTCAGACTTCAGTGAATCAATTGACAGTCTAATTAATAAGAAAATTAAAAACATATAACAACTTAAAACATTTTGTGGAAAAACTTGGGAACAGTTTATGAGATTAACTGATTTGATTTTCAAAATATTAAATAACTAGGAGGAAAAAGGTGGAAAAGGGGTGATTAAACACTTTTCCATTTCTATACTCTTTGTATTAACAAGACAAAAAATATTCTATAGTACCTTTGTAAAATTTTAGTTCCAGATAATATTTGGATTATGTACGCAGTAAGTTTAAATAAAGTAAGATATTTGCGCATATGCCATCAGCCTAAATCATGGATAAGTTCTATGGAAAATTTTAGCCATACACCCAGCACGCACTAAGGAACATTTAACGGATGATGTTCGCATTGGGGACTTAACGTCGTGGGAAAACGGCTTAGTGATTTATCGTGGATAATGTTTGCATGATGAAACTTATTGTGCGGCTTGGCCAAATTATTACTACTGAGGTTATGTTATGCAAACTATTTGCACTAAATTATATTCTCTCAAGGTACAAGGTCATTCTTAAAATGGCTTCGGTATAATATAATGATAATATTGTACCCTATCCCCACCCCTCAAGTTCAGTGGAACGTCTAAGACTCCTTGGGGACCAAAAAAGTATCTCCTTAGGGATGTCCCCTGAATGAAGTTGGCCATAGTATTCAGATATACTTTTCTTCATTTTGTGGCCAACGAAGTGTTTCCTTAATAGTTGGGGTACTCTTAATAGAGGTGTCCCAAAGGAGGGGTTCTCATGCCACCTTATTTTGCCAGCTGCTAGTTCCCGCTCACTTAGTCATCAAGCCTTCCTCCACATTCATACACCCCATCACCCGCCCCTACCTGTATTTCAATACTTAAACTGTAGATATCCCACTAAATATATTCCCTTGTAAGCAGCGATGAGGGTGATATAATTACTTTACCTGCAAGCATCATGTAAACTCTCCATCTCATCTGGAAAGTCAAGCATGCCTCTGTTTTGTTCTTCCGCTCTTTCAACAATATAGTGCATTAAATTCATTCTCGGTTTATTGGCTTTCGTGTCGATTAACTTCAGTAAGGAGGAGACTTTGAAACCAGCTGCGTTACCAGCATAGCAACCCTAATAAATATTAATAATATTTACTCAAACATACCTGTTAACATTAGTGGTACTCAAATACAATAAATGCGTTCACACAATAGTGAAGCATAGTAAACAAAAGCATAAATCTTGATTACATTCAGAAGAGAGATTAAAATAAAGGTTCGAGATACAAGGTAAATTTATTGCAAACTTCACAAAAATTTAAAATGTACAATAAAATTCAGTAAAACTATTTAAGAATTTGGAGACCTAAAAATACCGAAAATTACAATGAAAATAAAATTCTAAGATAAAATTCATCAAAGTTAAAACGAGCAAACAATATAATATAATATACAATACAATATATTGACAGTAATACAATAATAATTAAAAAATGTCAAAAATAAGAATAAAAATAAAAATAATGTACATTATATAAATTTAATACTATGTGAAGCAAGACGGAGTTGGGGGATTGGACATCAAGGATTTTATGTAAATTGCTTTACATATAATATATTGTGATAACTGTAGTATTTGGTCCAGTATAAACTAGAATGGAAACGTTTATTCTACCAAACACTTTACGGCCTCGCCAGCAGCCATGCTGGAACAACAACAACAACCCAGAGGGCAGCACAACTATGAACCAACTAAACAGGCAATATGCCAATCCTACAATAACCACTCATATACTAACAACATGGTTTAATTTAAATATGAAAGTCTTCTTCACTAATTTTAAAACTTCAAAAAAAAAGAAAATTTACTTACGGAGTTCATGAAATTACCAATATTCAAGATAAGAACAAGAAATTCTTCAATAGTTTCACTGCTTAAGATATCTGTTAAGAAGGTGACGAAAAATAATTGCATTCAATGCATTATTTTATTTAGAACAATTGAAATATAAAGCTGAAAATTATATAGGCAAAAACAAAAACAAAATTTGTCAGTATACAACGGTCGAGGAAAATGTCATGCCTGCTAAAGCAAATCAACAGGAGCCCTCTATTCAAGCGTGCTCCAAAAATGCCACAGGGGGATTCAAAAATTCCAACTGGGGCCAGAACCAAGGACATGCATTGAGACAGGAGTCAGGACTACAAATTAAAACCACTGGTTAGGTACAAGTGGGACAGTTTTAGACTACAATATAATTAATTTAAATCACTATAATGTTGACACAATAATGTTGGTGATATTTTTAGTTTAAAAGCTTAAACATAGCATCAGACAACAAGTGGTCTATGTTTGTCTGACAGAAGGAGTGAAAATTTCCTACTGATGTCATGTCCATCTATTGGCCAGGGGAGGATATAGTGGGGAGACAAACAGTCTTTTTATAATTTCATAATTAACTAAGAATAAGTTACAGCTAGAATCATAACTAATTTTTAACAATAATTTCCAATGCAAAAACAATTCATTCATGATATTAAATCAACAGAAATATAATTAAAACAATAATAATTCTGGTTTTATGTTAAGTATATATTGCTCAAAACGTGTCAAAATATAAACTTAAATGAGTTTTTCTTATGTTGAGACCACTGTAGCAGTGTTTTGATAAAATAAAAGTATAAGTGTCCCCTTAGGGGTTAATTATGTATTTGACCATTTTTCACTCTTAGAAAGTGTCTCCTTGATAGATGTGTCTCCTTAATAGAGAATAGCCGTAGTGTTACAAGATATATTTCTCCTCGTTTTACAGAAAAGTGCCCCTTTAATAGGAGGTTTCCCTGAATATGGGTGTCCCAAAGGAGGGGTTCTACTGTATGTTTCACTTACCATCACAGGCATTATGTATAGTATGTAATGATGGTCTTAAGTACTCAATCTTTTCAGAAAAATCCTCTTTCAGTAGCATTCCTTCTATTCGCAGTTTATAACTTTAAAAAAATAGATACAACAAATCATGATAATCATATGGTTAATTAATTAATATATTAATTAAATTAATACTGTAATTAATTATTTTTTGGCTAATTTAACAAAGAAATCAAACATCTTCAGCTTTTGCAGAACAGAGCGGCTAAGCTAGTTCATAATTATTTGAGAAAACATGATCATATCTCGCCTCTTCTTACTCAACATCAACCATTAGATTCATAAGATACCATCCCAATTTTAAAGTAGTTCTCTGTAGCACTGATGTCAACTTTGACCCACAACCACCCAGCTAACGGCATTTACAAGCGACTGTGTAGAAGCAGTTACTCAGAGTGCTTATGTCGTTTTCGACTGCTACAAAGTAGTTTCCAGGCAACGTTGGTGTGAGCGCATGTGCACATCTAACAGACTACAGCAAGGGTAAAGTTGAAAGAAATTCCTTCCGGAAAATCTGGTTAAATGAGCTTCTGTTAACATACTTAAGTTTATTTTGCTGTGCTTAATGTGATACCCATCAGCACCGACTTCCGTGAGACAATTTATAATAAAGTAGTAAAAACATGCAAAATATTATGAATTTTCGTTAGATGGTTTATTATCCGGAAGATTCTTGCTTGCGGAAGTGCGGAAGGCCGTGTTTATTTCTGGGAGACTTCTGCGACTTGGTAAACGGGAGAGTTACTGGCACATGACCATAAGCACTTGACAGTTACTTTGTATCGCATCAAAATCGAACAAAGACAGCAATTATTAGAGCAACGATGGTTTTCATTTGCTTTTGATTGCAAGGAACACTCATGTCACCTCAAATCATGCAATCCAAATTTGCTCGCAAGTTGGTCACAGTTGTTGGCTGGTTGCCAAGGGTCAGTCGATAATATTTGAGTTGTCTAGTTTTAAGGGTGACATGAGCAAGGCTTAAAATTATATATCTGACTTCACTTACTTCTTCAGATTTGACAGCATAAGCAGGAACTTCTCTGCAGAACCAAGCTTTGTCTCATCACCATCAAATGACTTCAGCATGGACAACTAAAACAAAAAAAAAAGTATTAAAGTCTTTGATATATATTCACATCATTAGAGCATCAAAAATTGTGTTATTTCTCACTTTTATATTATAGTTATATTCTGGTTGGAAAACCAGTCACTCCTCACAAAGATTTTAAGTTATTAATAAAGGGTTAAAGAGTAAAATTCCTGGCCCCCGAAACCTTGACTCTGAAATACCGGGTTGGTATCCGGCGGGGGATAGTTTTTTACCATAAATTAAATTAAATTAAATTAAGAATTGTAAAGCGCCTAGAGGGATCTGTGATCTGTTAGGCGCTATATAAATACAGTATTATTATTATTATTATTATTATTATTATTATTTTATTAAAATGGTAAAAGAATCATTTACATTTGGCATTTCGTTACAGGAGTTTAACCATTGCTTTAAAAACAATATTTGAGAAATAATAGTCTTCAAGATTTTGGGTATTTCTTAGGCAGAGACCACCACAAAATCGTTAACAATTTTGTGTAACATTGACAATGGGGAAAGTAACAACATAGCATGATGTATAGAAAGGTTAGTTTAGTGCATTAAAATATGTATTTCAAAAATGTTGACATTCCAGCATGTTTTGGCCACTTTCTCTGAAACATGATTTGCGATGAATGACTGTTTGGCTTGTCTTTGCCACATGTAGTATTTGTCTTCACTATTATATAATTAGTAGGGTTACTAAAGTTTCACTGTTTCTGCTTCTTTTGGTTGCATAAAGAACTATTTTATAGTAATATGTGAGGTCTCGCCACAAAATGAGTCTCATGGTTAGAAATTCAAAAATTTAGTTTGTATTATATTTGTGTAGATCACATTATAAGCTTTCATTTGGTCTTTGAATGGCTTCACTACTATAAGTAAATCCAGAGATGTGAGCATTTAAAGTTTAGGTGTATAAGAACCATGTTTTGAGAAAATCAGCCTCAAAGATAAATTAACCTGTACAAATAATATGACTAGATTTACAGAATATGTGCAGAGAACACTGTTTTGGCAAGAAAATTCACTTACAAAGTATACAATCATAAAATATAAGTATCAAGTTATTCAAAAACATTAAAATCAAAATTTTGTAAAAATGGTGACTTTGGCCTTTTTTGGTGAATATCTCAATATGATTTCACCAACGATGCGTCTCATTTCGTGGTATATAACAATAACAGTGTAGTTTTATATAGCCCCGTAGCTCAATATATTTTAAGTTCTTACTGTACCTCATCTTTTTCTGGAAGTAATTTTTGAAGGGCTTTGAGTCGGTCAGACCCAAAGCTTTTGCTGTCACCATTCTTTATAATGTCGATAATGACCTCGTTTGGTTTGCGGAACTGTTTCAGGAATATGTTGATGTTCAGACTACGCTTACCGTCAAGTAAATTTATCTAAAAATAGCATTCAAACATTTAATCCAAAAACATTAATGTTATATAGACCTATATCATATAAGAATTAAAGAAAAGGCTAGAATTTATTAGTACAGATCAGAATGTCAGAAAAGCATGATTTTGAATAAGGCGAAGATGCTCAAAAAGGTCCTTGATATTTAGGGAGACTGTCAAATCAAATTTAACAACTGACCAATCAGAATAGGGCCATGAACAAACATACATGTTCTCCCACATTGAACATGTTTTAGCTAATTTTAAATATGTTTATGCTGTTATACTTATATTACAACCGTTCCGTGGCAAAATGACGTGGCTCGAAATTTTCACTTTTGGAGAAAATAGAGTTTTGTTGTACCCTTTTGGATTTTTTGCAGGATTATATATCATAGACATTGTGCTTATATGTAAAATTTTAATTACAACAGTTTGTTTATTGCAAAGTTATTAGCAATATTCACAGATACGTTGTTTTGCCTTGGAAACATGTCAGGCTCGGTATTGTTGCAAGTGCAACATAAGAATTTATCACGTTTTGGGCAATCACATGCATCATACGTCGCTGTTAAGATTATTGATATGAAAACACCATTAACCAGTTGATTTTGCCTTGCCAAATTCCACCAGCTCAAAACAATTTTTTAATTCATTCCGAGGCAAAACAACGTATCAACATCGTAAATCACTAGATTTAAAGATTTGTGATAGATGGTGCTATCTCTGAAATGACTCATTGTTGAGACCTGAAATTTTTCACAGGTAATGCAGAAGTGTTTAATATACTCCCAAATTATAATATCTCAAAATTGAAAAAAATGTCAGTTATATTGTTTTGCCTCAAGACGGCCGATTAGCAATAATATCTAAGGGCCTTAGCCGAAAGGTCTATTCCATTGAAAATTGATTCAATGTGCAAGAATATTAGACAAAGCATATAATATTGTGCTGGATAAAAATCAGTCGCACACCTCACTGCCAATGGAACGCGTCAGCCGATGACCGTCAAGTGCAGTGGGAGCTTGGCTTAATCCTAAAACATTTTCTTGCTACAGACACAAAGCCTCGTTCATATGTTGACTCAGAGAACCTCGCATCTAATATACAGTAAAATATGTATTTTACAAAAGTCAGAAAATGCATTTGGTCAACATACCTCTGTTGGTGCCTTCTTTTTCTTTTCGTCAGTTTTCTTCTCAACCTTCGGCGCTTGACAGAAAAGCTCTTCTAAAACCTCATAGTCTGGAGTCAAAGGAGATTCCTTTTCCTTTACTTTTATCCATACATTCTGTTCTGTTGAAGACGCACATTATATTACTTTTATATTGATGTTCTAAATTACAAAATTATCCGATATTATTAATAATAATTTATACATGTCATGATACAATAATGAGTTAAGTGGATGTCCATACTTTTACATTTTATGTGACAATAAAAACATGACATCATCAAGACCCTATAGTAAATTTAAATTTGTTTTTACTAAACCACAGTAATATATACATACTTGCGACGTTTCTTGTGTTTTCAGCAACACTTACGAGCGATTGGAACTAAAACCATCAACAGTTCATGGTATTCAAACCAGATGAACTATTTCAACATATCATGACCATATATAGGCACATCATGACTATATATGGGCATACAATTTTTTTTTTTCAAAGATAATTTGATTCTGTGCCAGACTAGGCTTAAGGAAGGGGTGCAGCATCTTGTTTCCTTATCATTGATTGGCACCGGATCAAGACACTGATTGCTCAAGGTTCTATTGGTAACAAATATTGTCAATTGAACAATTATTTCCATGAATGACACTATGAGCCATGGCCAATATATCTACAGTATGAAAGATTAGAGGTCACGCCAAAAGAGTAGGGGTCAAGTTGGTGCTCCAATTCAGTCTTATCAATGTGGAAAAATATGCAGGCACCACAATTATACAGGCTTTTGCTTATTACCTTTACCTATGCACGAGATTATTATATGAATAAATTGTAATATTTTCCTAATTTTGCCTGGATTTGGCAAATTGCCCATACAAACAATAGGATTTGTTATTCTAAAACCAAGTCAGTTCTTCAAGGCCTCTTATGGATTGAATTAAAACCAGTTATATTACATTATTAATATAATAATAATCTATGTTGCTACAATAACCTGTATGCCTCTGGCTTACAATTATTCTGTATTTTATTATTCTGTATTTATAGGTTCAACTAGTTAATTGATTTTCCTACACTGAGCCATCAAAGTATTATACCAACTTCAACTATTATTTTAGAAAATAAAAAAATATTAATTTATATATACATCACAGTAGCTTAATAATTAGGATAACAATACAACACTTTTGCTATTGCTTATATCAAACATATACTATTTGTCCTGGTACCTTATTATTATTGTTTAAATATTTGATTTTGTTTTGTTTACATTATTGACCTTTAAGGAATTGTGATGCTATGTAAATTATAATTTTGCATCAATTAATTAGATTTGAATTATAATGGATTGAATATATTTGGTATGAACAACAAAGACAACCCATGAAAATCCAAAGACTTTCATATCCAGTGGGATCCTTCCAATGCTTGATTGGGCAGTACACCGGAAGACAATCCCCTACTCTTTATAAGAGTGTACCGCATTTTTTAATGTGCAAGGCCATATTGAACACTGGACCAATGGCTTATAGGTCTGAAAGAGAGAGTGCGCTTATTTATACTTGCATTACACCTCCCCGGGTAAAACACATGCAGAGCAGCAGATGAAGTTAATAATGAATCTCCATGGTTTAGTGCACACACAGTGGCTACCACCAGTTCAAACTTGTTGTTTCATATGATTTGATTTACACAGAAAAATGTACACAAATCTGGATCTTATTCCAACACTAGATCATGAGTTCCATCAAAACTAAATAAATATCGGGCACATACTGCACTGGATGATCTACGACCGACGCGAATCCACAGTGCATGATGACAACCACATAATGGACCACTTTTTATCAAAGTGACAGTGGCAATCATTAGATGGCGTTGCACTGTTAGCATACCCACAGACGGTAGAGACGGATTTGTCAGCCAGCGGTCGTCTGATCATCGTGTGATGCAGTGTGTGCCCAATTCTTTAATTATCCCACAAAATATAATGCTGTTGGTCTTACTGTCAGCATGCGAGGCCTGGCGTTGTAGTTCGGTTGGCTTGATCTTCACCCAGTTGACAACTTTCAGTTTCTTGCTTGGCCTGGGTACGGGAGTTGCAAAATTAGTTGAAGCTACCTGAGGCGTTATCCAACCGCCTGGTGGTGGAGGTGGAGGAGCACCACCACCCGGGAATGGTGGTGGTGGTGGTGGAGCGCCACCACCTGGGAAAGGTGGTGGTGGTGGAACACCACCACCACCAGGAAGTGGTGGAGGAGGAGGTACACCAGCACCAGGGAATGGTGGTGGTGGAGGTACACCAGCACCAGGGAATGGTGGTGGTGGTGGTGGAGGTACTCCAGCACCAGGAAGTGGTGGCGGAGGTGGCACCATACCTCCTGGTGGTGGTGGTGGCGGAGGCGGTGGAGGAATACAAATGCTTGATGGAGGTGGTGGTGGTGGAATTGCTGGTGTAGGGCTAGCAGTATTTGTCTGTGGTTCTCCTGTAGTCTGCGACGCAGCCTCTGCACGCATAAACACTTTAATATCAGTCTGTGTACTGCCAATTTTGCATGGTTTTTTGGAAGCTAATTTTTCATCATCTGTTTTTCCCTGCTTTCTCACAAATTTCTTGGGTGGTAGCATAGCAACTACATGATTCTTATGTTCAGTAAAAACCTTCATGATCTCATCTTGGTCCATTTGTACCGCTTTTCTGACTAGCACCTCTATCAGGTGCCAGATCGCATCTGTATTTTCATTGTCCATATCAAGTAGAAACAAGTCCTGCAGAATCGCTAACAGACTGGCTGCTTGGGGGCTTTCACAGACCTATAGAAATTCAAAAATTGCATACTGTATATAATCAAATTGTAATACTATCACCACATTTAAATTGGCAGTTCATGTCAATACATCTACTCATATTTTATTATTTCCTATTTCTTTTGCATCGAACAGGAAAGGGCCTTATCAAGTACAGGATGTAGTTGCCTTAAACCAACACCTGATTCCCCAAAGTCAAATTGCTACATGGGAAGAATGCCCGCAGACAAAATTCCTACTGAAACACCATCGTCTTCATGTGATCAAAGAACTTAAATAGCAGAAAAATTACCTGTTCCGCATATTTGCACTAAAACTGATGGAACATCCGCCCTCCCATGAGTGGGATAAAATTTGACCATTTGACCAAGTGGATCGAAACTACAGGAAACAAACAACCAGAGTGACACCTTTTATTATTCATATTATAGAGCTGCCATGCAGACGGGGTAAAATTGCTGTCCGTGTACCCACTATGCATTTTGACCAGATGTTCCACTATATTGGGAAGCTGCGTGCTCTGTCTTCTGCTATTTATTATTTTTGACTTGATTGAATTAAACCTTGTTATAATTTGGTTCAATTAACAATCAGCAGTGGAATGATGCACACATTCATGCAAAGAATTTCGGGGCATGACATGATATTACACGGGACACACATGCTAATCTTACACGGATATGCATCCCCACAGACGTAATGTAGCAAAGGGAATGTTTGAAATATTAAATTGGTGTTGGGCCTAATTTTGGGACTCCCACAATCTTTATGAAAACAATCACAAATACGGTTACCCGCTGAGCAATGACTATCGGAGTCCGCACCATACAAATGGAACGATTGATTAATTTGGCCCACGTAGTATATTTTAAAATTTTCGAGCCAATCCCCATACTGTAATGACTGCCACAGCTTAATCCCATATGTATTTATGAGCTGATCCTAATTATTACTGTCACAACATACCTATCCAAATTTTACGAGAATCATCAATCATATTCGTAAACTAGATAAGCAGATATCAACTTTAATATAATTAACATTAACAACATAAAATTGATGCTGAGTAATGTATGCATGTTAATAATAAAAAGATTGGGTGCTGTCTTGATGTTGCCAACCTTTCACTTGCTGATTTGGGAAAATCAGCCTTTTCTACTATTTTTAATAACTATAAATTCCAAAAAATAATAAAAGAAATGCAGAAAAGGCTGCTCTTGCAGGTGGAAATGGTGCTGCAAGCAGCTCTCTGAGACGGATACATCACCTTATAAGATGTCATTATTAAAGAATATTGTAAAACAGGATCAAAATTTGCTAATTTTCTCATGGATAGCAAGACTGTTTGCTGTACTCACACAAGTTTGTCAAGTGCGAAACAGAATATATGTTTTAACAAAAACGAAAATACAACATTTTTTTTTTGCAAAACCTTCCTAGTAATAGTATGGAGAAACATCTCCAATAGTGATACTTAAAGCCGCAGGAACCCAGCAGGATTTGAAACCAAGCTGATTACTGATCAGATATTCCACCAATTGAAGCCAAGAACTTAAAATGGCGATGATAACAGTTGATAGGCATAGGTCTCCCTTAAATTAAAGACCCCTCCAAAAAAGACCAATCCAATAAATTATTTTATCTATCATTCTAATTAGGAGACCAAAGCTGCTTGGAAAATAAATGTTCAACTTGGGATTTGAACGCAAGACCTTCGGTATTAGCCTTCAGAATTTCATGGTTTCAAATGTAATTTTAATTAAAAGCTCTACTAATATAAACGTAATATATAATTCATACCGTTTAAATGGCTGCATCAAAGACATTTACAGGGATTGAGAAAAGCCTGTGACCTGATGGGGAATCAAACCCAAGACCTTCCGATTATCTTTGGGTATTGAGTTCAAATCCTGACAAACATTATTAATACACTAAATAACTGAAAAGTTCATACTCTTTTAAAGACTGCATCAAAGACATGTACAGGGCTGTTGAGGTCAATTCCATCTGGATGTTGCAATTCCCCGTCATCTTGCTCTTTATGATCATCAAACACGTCAAGTTGGATGGTCAAGTCTGGGTGGTCTTTATCAAGATCCCTATCAAAAATTAATAATCAGTCAGTCAAATATTAGGAATTTTTTATATCACTGATTATGATAAATTACCGTTTTATATGAAAAAAGGGTTTAATATTGAAAAGCCATTGTTGTAATAAAATTTTATTGATGCTTATGATAAAAAAAATAAAACAGATAAGAGTGATAATGAGAAGCAAGATGATCTTTTTTAGGTTGGTGTCTTCATTATAAATCAATCAATCAATCAATCAATCAATCAATCACTATTGAATATTATCAATCACTCAAACATTAGCTTTTGTTTTTAATCATATATGGTAAAGACAAGCCAAACAAGTCACTCCTTGCAAATTTTGTTTCTGAGATAGCAGCCAAAACATGTTAGAATGTCAACATTTTAAAATATATTTTATTGCACTAAATTAACATTTATATATTTTAAACATCATGCTATGTTATTAATTTTCCCATTTTTGATGTTGTTAAAACGATTTTTTTACGATTTGATTGTTCCTGCCTGTGTCTTATTGTAAATTTATAATGCCAATTTTTTTAATACTGTTATTTAAACAGCTGTTTGTTTGAACACCTGTAAGTTCATAACGATGTCAAATTTAAATTATTCGGTTACCATTTTATAACTTTTACTTTATTGCTTAACCCTGTATTTATTAACTAAAAATTGATTTTTTTTTTTTATTTTTTTTTTTTTCTCTCTTGTGAGGATTGACTGGTTTGGCTTGTCTTTACCACAAACAGTATATTAATAAGGTTAATGAAGAAAACAATTGTTATAATAGAATGATGACGAGAAGCAAAAGATAAAGAAAAAGAAATGATCATTCTTATTATTTTGGGATAATAATAATAATAAAATATGTTAGACTTATATGATGATGACAAATACAGTAATCAAAAAGAGAATCATGTTGATGCCTGTCTCTTATACACATCTAGATGTGTATAAGATTTGAACACCTGTAAGTTCATAACGATGTCAAATTTAAATTATTCGGTTACCATTTTATAACTTTTACTTTATTGCTTAACCCTGTATTTATTAACTAAAAATTGATTTTTTTTTTTTATTTTTTTTTTTTTCTCTCTTGTGAGGATTGACTGGTTTGGCTTGTCTTTACCACAAACAGTATATTAATAAGGTTAATGAAGAAAACAATTGTTATAATAGAATGATGACGAGAAGCAAAAGATAAAGAAAAAGAAATGATCATTCTTATTATTTTGGGATAATAATAATAATAAAATATGTTAGACTTATATGATGATGAGAAATACAGTAATCAAAAAGAGAATCATGTTGATGCTCATCTTTAATAATAATTATTATCAATCAATCAATCAAATCTTTATTTCAGCTATTAAAAGCCACATATAATATAAAATACAAAACAAAAAAAAAATGACAAATGCAGACAAGCATCATATAAATTCAAAAATACACACTCTGAAAAGTGTCATCCACGATAATGAAAGGAGGATGATGATTATGACAAAATAATGACGATGATAGTAACGATGATGTTTGTGAAGATGTTGATGATAATGATGATAGTGATGATGATGATGATAATGATGATGGTGATGATGATGATGATAGTGATGATGATGATTATGCTGCTGACGATGACAATGTTGATATTAATAATTTTATTGATACATGAAGATGACATATGATGTTTAGTTGTGATGTTGGTGATGGTGATTATGATGATGATGATGTTTATGACAATGATAATCATGATTTGTGGTAAAGATAGAAATGATGAGGATGGTGATAGGAGAGATAATGTTTGTGAAGATATTGATGATGGTGGTAATGGTGATGATGATTATGATAATCATGATATTGGTGTTGATGTTGATAATGATGTTGATATATCATGATATAGATGTTGAATTGTGATGATGATGATGGTGGTGGTGAAGCTGTTTGATGACGATGAAGATAATGATGATGTGATGCTTATTGGAATAAGGATGATGATAGGACAGAATAATGTTTGTGACGACGTTGATGATGATGGTAAAATGGTGATGATGCTTATGATCATGATAATGATAATGATGATGGTGATAATGTTGATGTTATAATAACAATAATAATGATATTGATAGGTGATGATATGTATTTGACTTGTGATGATGGTCATCATGATGATGATGAAGATAATGATTTTTGACAGTGATAGGAATGATGAGGATGGTGATAGGACAGAGGATGATAATACTTGTAATAAATTTGGCCACAAAAGCAGGATAATAATATTGTAGTAATATTAAAGGAGACAATGCACTGATGATGCTATCAAAGTATGAGGTTGTTAAAAAGAATTAAGCAGGTTAATAAATGAAACGTAAAATAAAAACATGAAATCATATTTCAATAGGTACAATTAAGTATACACAACATAAATAGCAATTTTTATAATTAGCGTAAAAATTTAAGAAACATCTCAATAATACAACAATATGAAAACTACATGAAGCCAAATGAAATTATGGTATTTGAAGATAATAGCAACAATGTCAACATCATATAACAATAACGATGATGAAGAGAGAGGGGTGAAGTTTGAAATTTCTATTCCAACAAAATAAATTAAATAAATATTCATCAGAATAGAAAGTAGCATCAATTCCTCTGTTCCCAAACTCAGACCCAGGGTTTGCGCTATACCGCAGTTCGTCGAGTATAAGCCCACCTCAGTTATAAGCCCCTCGCAGCACACTTTACATCCAATTTCATGTACCAGCAATAGACCGAATCGGCGGCTCCAGCTATTACTGGTCACGTGATATATAGTACAGGGTACAAAATGTAAACATACACATCGTAAACCACAGTGCGCTCACTGAACACAGCATATTGAGAGTTATGATGTGTTTTAGACAGGGACCCAAAGCAAAGCAAGGCAGTAGGCCTTTGTTTTTTTTTAATAGTGATTTATAATTACTTTGGCATTCTCTGTGAATTTTATTTAGGCTCTGGAATGGTGCTAGTGTACGGTAGGCTACATACAGTTAGGCCCCTAGGCTGCACTCACTGTGAGTAAGCCTTGACCAGGGCCCGGAGCAGGGAGGGAGTTGTTATGCCTCGACTATATATCTCTGTCGAGTACCTGTAGGTAATAAAGTAGAAAAAACCCTTAACGGTACTGATTGCTCAACCAAACTAGTGATACAGGCTGGTGATAATAGGCCGGCTAGTTGGTATGGTACATCCTAGTGCCAGTAAGTAATAATAATGTCATCCTATGATTTAATTTTTATTTTTTTCATGCTGCGATAGCATTTGCCATGAATAATATTCCTTGTTGCATTTGCAACATCTATGATGTGACTCACATCAATAACAAGGCGAAGCCATATTCAATGCACTGTCGTCTCGCGATCGCGATAGATGTAAACAAACCCTAATAAACACCATAAGTCATGTGACCCGAGCTGCTGATTCAGTCTATTTCTGTGGCAAAAGCCCAGAGTATGCATTGCTAGGACTTTCAAGAAACAAATATCAGATTGGCTTTGAATTGAGCATGGAGTATTGTATTAAATTTTGCCTTTAAATTTGTTGGCCAACGTTTGTATGAATCTCAAATGACGCAGTGAATGCCCGGCTTAAAACTCTGCACGCCTTAATACTTTAAGACTTATAAAGAACTGGAACCTGTGAGAGAAAAGTATATTTTTGCAGAACATGTTACCCACTATAAGCCTGGTTTACACGGCAGGAGATCGCATTTATCGGTTTATATATTATAGGTGTTAAGTGGCGGTGTAAACAGAGTTAATAACTCCGCATAACAGATCAGTAACCGTGATGGTCTACTGAGCTACCTCTGCATCACAGGGGTGTTAACAAAGATCATCGTCATGATTTTTATGCAAATTAGCTGTTGTTTGACCTGTGTGAGTCGTCACTGGAAGTCACTGTTGATAAACACCGATACCAATAATTATTTGAAATATTAAATTTTTATTATTACATACATTTTAAAACTTTTTTGACAAAGAGTTTCAAAACAAGCAGCAATGTGCATGTTTCTTTCAGGACAGTTCAAATAACGTGACTTCCTGGTACAACCGATAATTTTTTTATTGTGTATATGGGAGACAGGAGATCATTGGTCCTATCTTATAGCAAACGGCCGTGTAAACAAGGTATATTGAAACAAAAAGAAACATCCTAGTGCATGATGGGGTAAGCAGGTTGTAAATGAATGAAATAAAAGCTGCAATGAATTATTTAAAGAGATACCATGGATTCCTCACCTTGAGTCTATGTCCAGTCTTCAAAGTTAGAAATTATTTTGATAAAGAATAAAGACGAACAATATATAAAAAGGTTAACAGATGAAGCACTAAAATTAAACGATGTAAAATGTAAAACATGATATCAAAAAATGGTGTTAAAATATATAAAACATTATAATGGAATTGAATTTTGTTCACAAAGTATTCATAAACAGATAACAGCATACACATGACACCACAAAATTAATTTGTTATAAACAAATTCCATGCAAATTAAAGCAAAAAACCCAAGCAAAAATTTTCAAATTTAGGCAACTAATGTTCTCTCAACTTGGTTTTTAATATAAAAACATATTTTATATTTTAATGTTAAAACATTTTATATCAAAGCATGTTAACCAAAGTTATAGCAAGGAAGACAAATTTTACAAATTTTAATAAAATGAATATACAAGAATAGGCCATTATTTCTATCATTATTTTTTTCCTATCAAGCAACAACAAACAATAACAAACAATTATAGACAAACATACATTATATTGTATATTAATAGCATATAGTTAAAGAATGATGTAGGCCTACTGTATGTAAACTATATATCTATCAATTGCACAGCATCTAGATGCAACAATTGAGTTTCGTCAGTATTTATTGCCCCTCCCTTGTGAAATTAAACATGCGAGATGGGACATTTTACACCTTGTTTAGCAAAATATATCATTTTGTAAAAAATTCACAATCTTCTGAGGAGGGTAACAATATTTTTCTCATTTAATAGCAAAGTAATTGTGGCAAAAGCACCTAGGAAGAGGAAAAAAATAAAATTTATAATAGTTAAAAAAATTTTAAAAATTTATAAAAAAAATTGTGTCTGATAGTAAGAAAAAAATGTAATAGAGGGCACCATTACACCAACACAGACAGCATCGTATGACGCAGCCTAACTTGATCTGTTGCATGTCAGGTCTGTGTGAGTCAAATGAAGACGCGATGGGTCTCGGTCAGGGACTGTAATATCGTACCATATTAATCAAATTTAATATTCTCACTACGACCTCAAGAAATAAAAATCATATATTTTTTTTTCAAGAAATTTCTATATTATGTACGCTTATAGTTCAGAAATAAAATTCTATTGGTGGGGCGGTGGATTTTGTAAAAACAAGGTATAACATCTCACCTAAGTATAGAGTTGTATTGTAGAGAGATGAGAAGATGTACTGACATACCTTTTGAAAAGTGGTCTTTAATATATGGTCAACAGCATATAGCAATTTGCTTGGTGACAATATTTAATTGAGCAATGCTCATGATAAATACTTTTGCTAAGTATGTGCTAAAATATGTAACTTTATTATTAATGTTCGAATATTTGTTACCTGCGGAAGAAAGAGATGAATACTATCCATACCTTAGCTGGGTCAGGATATCAAGAAGCTTTAACCCAATAAACTCGTTTCGTAGCCTAATGCGTTCATCAAAATCCTCCGTCGATATAAGAATGGCGTTGATGAAACTGACCAATGATGCTTTGTACGGGATGATAACATCTTGCTTTAACTCGTTGACCATGAAGCTAAATCGGTAGCGTTGTTGTTTTGTGATCTGGGAAAAATTAAGAGACAAATGTGTTAGGCCCGGCCCACAAAAAATACTGGAGCTAAATTTAGAACCTAACTGTCTGAAGTATCACTAATATTTGTTCAACCCATTGGTGAAATGCGTAATGCACATAAAGTAATTATAACCACTTCCAATAACTTTTAGCATAAAAACATTAAAATCTTAAATACCTGAAGCATAAGTAAAAAAAAAATTAAAATTTTATTGGTATTTTCAAATACTTGAGTATGTAATCTTAATAAATTGAAATCTGGGAAATTTGAAACATAGTTCTTGACGAGTAAAAGTACTGTACGGAACTCCTGAAATCAACATAAAGATGATTTTCATATCCAGCCTTCCAAAGTTATTCATGCATACAGTTTTTAATGGCATTACAGTTTTTAATGGAATTAACTACAATTAAAGACATGACCACTATATTTTCCGAAGACTTCGGGACAATTTCAATTGGATATTTATACAAATCTACAATATTAAAGGCTTTGTTTTAGATACTTTGTCATATTTGGGTTAGCGCCCCCAAATGTTACATTTTTCTTCTCGAAAAGATCCAGTATCATGTGAGGTGGTCTTGAGCTTAGCTCCCAATTAGAACCACTCACACATCATTGTAATTTTCGCCTGATTAAGTTCAATCTACTACTGTATTTTGACTTATTCACCATCTCTGCTCCAAGAATCTGTTTGTTTGGCAGAAAAGGGTAAATCCGGTGGAGGTGCATGGTGGGTCATGTGTCATCTTAAGTACTTTATTACTGTCAAAAAGTCAAAAAAAAAAAAAAAATACAACACCACACATTTCCTGATAACCGAATCCCATCGACACTTTATTAGTGTATAATACAGTATTAGGCAGTATGCAGTAGGGCATAGACACACGCTGCTCTTGCTGGAGCCTATTTTTTTTTTCTTGCCATGATGCGTTCACTTTTGTACGACATAGTCGTCATGTTTTCACATCCCATCATTTGACGCTGGTTCTCTTAAAGCTAAGACTGTTGTCTTTTCATATACAGTACGTTCATCCATCATTTTGTTACTCTCTGGAACCTTCATATGTCTTTACCAACCTTCCCAATTTAAATCTCTTGTGAATGAGTTACTTTTAAATACTTAACCCCTTAACATTAGTGGCTTTTTAGTCTTGCTTGAAATGATAGGCAATTAAAAAAAATGTGGATTAATAAAGTGAAAAAAAAAATTATTGATTTCTAGGCCATTTTTTAGCTCCCATATTTGATATCCTATTTACTCAATACTGGCCAGTGTGACAACTTAGCCATTTTGCCATGACATGCCTCATATTACCACTTAGAATTAAATTAATGTATAACTGGTTTATACCTGTTTAACTAATACATGGGCCTATAGCTAGACTGACATTAATGCAATTTAATAGGTCTCTAAATTGTAGTATCTAGTTATTATTTTCCAGACTACCTTATCAACTTTCATAGTATTAATATGTGCCTCATTACTGTTCAGAATAAAATTAATGTGTGGGTTAAAGTTCATACCTGTTCAACTAATACATGGGCTAGCTAGACTGACATTTAATGTCGACACTTAATAGTTCCATTGTAGTATCATGTTATCCATTTTCCAGACTATAGTTTCAACTACCTTATTGCTGGTGCATTGATATTCAAAGTAAAACATGATTTAGATAATGCAAACAATATCTACTAACTATTTAATAAAATAAATGAAAAAAATAAATAAATATTATTAAAAAAAACAAACAATTTAACAAAAATTTTTTTTTCATTACCATAAAAGGCATGCCCGCGGGGGTGATAAACAAATAATTTTTTTATTTGGCCTTATATGTACAAGAGTCATCATACGGTATTATTGGTGGGAGACGCATGCACAATAAACCGCAAATAAAAAAAGTGCGGGGAGTTTATTCTGGTTAAACTTTTACAATATTCTAAGGAAGGATGGACGACTGCAATGGGTTGACATTTGGAAATATTTAAAAAACAAAAAAAATAAAAATCTGGTATTCTGACAAAAATTATCCAGGTGCTGGTGATAGTCATGTAATGGATTGAATCCAGCACCCTGTGACTGCAAGTTGAGCACCTCAACCATTACAGTAAACTACTTTTAATTAAGGAACAATTCCAATATCCAGGTTGTATGTCGCATATTACAATCTGTGAAAATTCCAAAACAATGAAGTTTTATAACAACTGTGCCATATGCAACTCATCTGCCATATCTCAGCTGTAGAACAAAGCTTTGCTTGTTGAATTTAACCTTGATTTAAATATATAATAGTTTTGAATATGCACATCAATACATTACAGTGTTATAAATTTACATTCACCACTCAGCTGTTGATATTTTCTTTATTTAATTAGGAATATAGATACATACTGGTCATTAAATATGAGAGTAGGCCTAGATGGAGCAGTAAATGATACAGGCAGCTGTTGAAATTAAACTAGCAAAACAAAGTACATTTCAGACTGATCAAACACACTAGTGTTATCAATGTCTTCCTTAACAAGAATTTAAGGCAGAGTAAAAATATGCAAACAACTCATTCAAAAGTTTCAAACTTAGTACAGGTATTGTCATTTGTAAGCTTTCACTACAAAATGAGTCTTATCGTTAGAAAATAAAAAAATGAGTTTATATTATATTTTGGTAGATCACATTATAAGCTTTAACTTGATCTTTGAATGGCTTCCCTAAAATAAATAGATCCAGAGATGTTAGCATTTAAAGTTTAGGTGTATGAGAACCAGGTTTTGAGAGAATCAGCCTCAAAGATAAACTAACATGTACAAATAATACTACTAGAATTACACAATATGCACACAGAACACTGTTTTAGTACGAAAATTCATTTAAAAAGTACACAATCATAAAATATAAGTTTCAAGTTATTCAAAAACATTAAAATCAATATTTTGTAAAAATGTTGCCTTTGACCTATTTTGGTGAATATCTCAATATCATTTCACCAACGATGCGTCTCATTTCGTGGTGAGACCTCACATTTTTTTTTTTTATTTCTTGTTTATTAAAACTTTGCTTGGCCATATGTGACCGGCTCTATCAATACCCCAGGAAAAATGTAAACAAATTTGAAATTTTTGTGTTTTTAAATTCTGTATGTATTTCTTTATAAAAAAAAATGTTTATATGATGGAAACTGTTTGACCGAAAGGTCCACTGATTAACCTCAGATAAGAAAGCATAATACATACTCCAAGTATTGAAATACACGTAATCGTGTTGGGATTCAATATTTTGACATTAATTATGTCATCATCAGGAATCAATATTTCGACATTAATTATGTCATCATCAGGAAATTGTTTGAGTATTATTTCTGCAAAGTTATGAATATCAAGTTCATTGGGTATCAGGTTTTCGAGAAAACAGCTTTATATAGATTCTAAAATCCATACTTTAAGGTCCTATAAAAAATATTATTAGTTTATCACCCTATCTGGGCAGGAAAAGTGATGAGGAAGGAAGGCTTATTTTTTATTTTTTTTTTATTTTGCTAAAGCCAAATATAACCCTTGGTTTGTTTGCTGGTGCATTGATATTCAAAGCAAAACATGATTTAGATAATGCAAACGATATCTACTAACTATTTAATAAAATAAATAAAAAAAAATAAATAAATAAAATGTAAAAAAAAATATTTTCCAACAATTTTTTTTTTTTTCAGTACCATAAAAGGCATGCGCACAAGGGTGATAAACTAATAATATTTTTTTATTGGGCCTAATATCAGGATTTGTATTTCAAAATGTTTTTAATATACTTTTTAGTTAAACTTATATTTACTGATTGATATTTCTCAATTTTTTTTTCCGTATTTCAAAATAATTTTAATAAATATACTTTTTAGTTAAACTTATATTTACAAATTGATATTTCTCAATATTTTTTCTCTAATACACCTTCTTCATAAACCGCAAAAAACCTGATATTGTTCCAATTCTCGGACGATTTGGGTGATAGCGCAAAATCAGAAATTGCGACAAATATAGAGTTTTGCTAGAGGCGGGCATACATGTGAATAATTAAACATTTTCATAGATATTGTTTGGCATTCAATTGCATGCTCAAGTGTCCTGGTTTCTCCAACAAGAGAAAAATGAGTAAAACTGAGTGAAAATTAATGTTTTTTAGTATTATTATCATCATTTTAAATTTTCAGTTTATTAAATTTTGCTTTTCAATAAGTAAATAAATAATTCTTTGTAATAGATAGTAGTCTTTTCATTTCAATTTTACGTGAAAGCGAACTGGTTCCTCCATGCTATTTTTTTCTAAATCCTCTTTTCATACTACCCTGTCTTCTGATATTGTTTAATCTGAAAATTCTGTATGTTTTTTGCTATTCTTTTAGGGTATATTGTATATTGCTATAAATTTGTCAGCAGTCTTCAGGATAAATTTTTATCATTGTTATATTGTGTCCTATTAGTTGTTAGATACATTCTTTTTTTCCCTTTTTTTTATTTTGTTTTATTTGTGTGAACGTGTTCAACTTCAATTAATTTACAGAATAGATGGCAATAAAATTGTTATCATATCATATCGCATCGTACTTTATGATAATGATGGAAATAAAATATTCAGTAAATTATTGTTGTTTATGTTAATGTACATATTGACAGACGAGATAAAATCATTCTGGATTCAATAGTTTATTCTGAATATTTCTTTTTGGTTAATCCAGTTGTCAATATTTGATGGCATTTATTTCCAAATTTCTATTTTTAATGTTTACGTGTGAACAAAATTAACTTAAAAGATGAAATATTGATTCCAAGTCTGAATAGCAAATAAAACAAATACTGAAACCAAACATTGAATTTAATAATACATAGTTTTTAACTATTTATTCATTATTTATATAGCCCCATTTTTTGCAGATACAAAGCGCTTCTTTCCCTGATCATTGGGTTCACAAAGTGTTGATGCTATAATCAGCACAAGAGTAACCCCAACAGGTACCAATTTATAATCCTGGGTGGAGATAGAGTGCTGTGCTCAAGGACAGAAGCGAAATGCACGGCAAAAAGGATTGAAACCCCGACTGCAAGTGGGAAAACCAACCGTTTCAGCTGCACTAAACCAATTAGACAAAATTTTGAATCCTACCTTATAATGTTCCAATGAATCTATAGCCAATGTGTATCCACTGCTCGAGTGAACACACAAAGCTGATAGCAACTCAATAAGTTGTATTTTGACCATCTCATTCTTCGTATCAAGGGCTGAAATATAAAACGTAAAATTACAGAAATTGTAGGGATTTTACCAGGATTCTTCAATTGAATATTAATTATATTTTCCAAGATTTAAATAGTAAAACATTTGTTTGAGAATAGGTACTAGAATTAAAATTTATATTTGAATAATAAAAATTATAAATGTTGTTTTAACGTTGACAATGGGGAAAAAAAAACTTGGCATGATTTATAGAATGTTAATTTTTGTGCAATAAAATAGATTTCAAAAATGTTTACATTCCAACATGTTTTGGTCATGATCTCTGAAACAAGATTGAATTTTCTTTAAACACTCTGCAAGACATTTGGTGTTTTCTTCATATCATAAAAACAATTTTAAAGATGCATTTATCAAGCTAAAATACTTTTTTCAATTAGATGACATAGATTCAATTTAGATATTATTAGAGTAAAACATGTTTAGATCTGTGTTGCACTGTTAGTATTATTAGAAGTATTTGACTATTTTGAAAAAGCTTAATGTTTTTTAAATATTTATATTAACAGGCAGTATATCTATAAATGGTAATGGTAATATTTAAGGATAAATGTTGGCATGGTAGCAATATTTCAAGTGTACTGTATATATGCTGTCAGTGATATCTTATTAATACTGTAAACAACATTGCTAATCTAATCCTTCCCACAGTATATTATAATTCTCATCGTTTTGTCCATCAACACTGTCATAAAAAAAACACCCGCAGTAAGTATGTCACCTAAATGACCAGAACCAAATCACCCAATCAACTTAAAAATTTGATTCAAAAAACATTTGTAACTATTCATGCCATTGGAGGCAGCAAAGCAAATGCTAGATTTGTATAAGTTTTAACATATTGCACTGCACTGACAAATATACTGTAAATATGCAATGTTGCTGTTTTTCACTCTCTTTCCCCATGAGGAAACTTCACCATTTACCAAATTTTCAATTTTTGAACCAGGTTTTGCCGATCTCTTCTTATCTCTATTAATTACTGCTTCAGGGAATTTTGTAACAAGATTAACAGTGAAGACCATTAATTATGAATAGTTCATAAGAAGACTAGCACAATTAAATCAAAAACCATGTTGTAACTTCTAACATAATAAGTCATTGATTTTTAAAATTCAAAAGCATATCTATTATGATTTTTATCTGAAATTATAGCTAAGGTAATAAAAATGCCAAATTTTTTTGAACAGGTTTTTAAATTTGTCCAGCCTGGTTTTTAAATTCTATACTGGTAAATTATTGAGAAACAGCAATGCCTGCTGTGATGACTCTTAAGTAGAGGTATTCTTCTTTGATATTTAATTGGATTACCGAGATAAGATTCTGGCAAAACCTGGTTCACCAACCCACCTGAATGCCCTTTTAAAGGGTTTGCTGGTAAATGGGATAGTAACAGCATGACTCCAACCCCCACCCCCACTCTCTCTCTCTCTCTCTCTTTCTCTCCACACACCTTTTCCTCAATAATGGTGTCAAAGGCTATGTTCACACACACGGCGTAAGGCTGGCTTAAGCCTGGCGTAGCGTACGCCTTTGTGTGTGAACTAGGCAGTGGCGTTGTTAAAGCCACTCACTACGCCACGTTCTTGGCGTTAT